GCCCTAAAGTATAAGTGTGTACATTCATGGTTGTTTATGCTGTGTGTCTTTTGCTTAATGACATCTGGATATATTCAGAAACCAAAACCAACCTGCAAGTATGCAGAATGGCTGGAGTAAAAAATATTTGTTCATTTAGACATCATCTCCTCATCCATTAGAGGGGAAGTTATCTACCAATCAATCCATTTGTCAACCTGTCTTCATTTTCTCCCTTTATGTATCTTTTCTAGGGATGTGCTTCTGTTTACAGGTACATTGCTTCATTAAACTAACACTGGTTGATAGGGATGTTCATGTCAATATATTCTACATCCCTAGGTTTGATGTGTACACTCTGTATGACTTTTTTGGATCAATCTCTGACATTCAAAATAAAGTGGTAGTAAAAAGAAGAGCCTACAGATGTCTGAGTATCTCATTTACCTGCATGAGCCGCCCCAATGACCTTCTTGACTGGATCAGCAAACAGGATGGGCATGCAGTCGGCTCCTGGAGCCGCCAGAACAACCCCTCTCTGATTGGTCACCATGGAGTCGTAGCTTTCTGGCTCCGGGTTCCCCAGAACCAGCACGTCGTTGGCATGGTTCACCTACAGGTTTCACCAGGACAACGTTTAATGTTTGCTGTGATGGGCAGATAGGCTGCAGACTGGGTTTATGATTAATGGGTTGATCGTTTGCTGCAGAAGGTCATCTTTTTTATTTACCTTGACCAGACGTAGAGGAAGAGGATGAAACCCAGCATGAACGGCGAGCCGGCGCCTGTTTTCTGCCACAACAGCCGTTGGGTCCCTCCTCTTACTGCTGCAGAAGAGATTTAAGGAGGACAGGGTTGGGATGTAGGAGACTCCACCTGAACGGGTGCTGAAGCCGTGACCAAAGCAGTCTAAGAGAGACACAGATGCCACATCCAGCTTTACTGAAGAATAAACAGACCTCTGCTCTTATAATTCAATACAGTCAAAATTAGCTGAAATTAGCAAATACATTTCATTTGGATAGAAGGGGAAAAAAAATCAAAGTTCCCCAAATTCTAAAAGTAGCCTGCTTAGTGTTGCAAAAAAAAGCCTGAACTTTAGGATAAGAGATTTGGTTTTACATTTTCCTTCATTTCTCAGCCATCTGTAAATATAAAAAAAGCCAACTTTTTGTTCTTGATTATTAGCTGATATATTGCACGTAAAATCTAAATGTTAATTGCATATGCAGCGTGGTGGAATCATATGCATCACAGTATGTTCCTAAAAAGTTCAAAACCATCTTTTTAAAGGTGCTTCATTTGAACTTTCTGAGAAGCGATGGCTTTTGTCTAGAAGTTTTGAACTAATATTCTTCATTTTTGCTCATTTTGTTTCTTCTGTGTTTCAAATCATGCAACCTGAATAAAAGGCAGGTTTCAAACCCTGTCCTCATTTATAGGGAATAAAAGCCAAACAACCAGAGCAGGTTCATAGACAAAGAAGTAAGTAGTTTCCCTGTATAAAATTTATAAGACTCAGTGAGGAACTAATTTACTGCGATGCAAATACATTATTTACTGTTTTTTACTGCAGTTGTAAACCTTTAGAGGGAAACTGCAACTTTTGCATGTAAATCCCTGACACCAGTTAAGGTTTTCTATTTAAAACTTAGGAGATGTATAAGCATATGCAATTCTTCGAATAATCATGCAGAATCAATAGTTAATAATGTTTCCCTGTTTGTGTCTTTTTTAAAATATAGTAAAAAAAAACAAATCCAACTCCTGCTGCAGCTTTATTTTGTTGTTGCACGTGAGCACATAAGAGCCTTAACCCCAAGGTGCTCCCCAGGCGCCTCACAATGGCAGCCCACTGCTCCACAGGGGGATGGGTTAAATGCAGAGGTAAATTTCTCCAATGTGAGATCAATAAAGTTCAATTATTATTAGTATTTTTATTTAATAAAAAAAAAAACAAGTATACACGAGTGCATACAAAAAGATATTTTGTTTAAAACAGCTCTAGATAATTTCATTTATTAAAGTGCAGCCTTGAAAACAGTTATAACTACATAAAAAATAGTAATATAAACATATGACTGTATTTACAGTTCTAACATAATTTTTTTTTTAATTAATGTAATTTTTTAATACTTTTTTTCAATACTAGTTACATACTTGTTTATTTTATAGTCTGTATTCATGTTGTGGGCCCTATTTTATCATTTACCTACACTACAAGTTGTGTGTTTTTTTTGTTTTTCTTTGCTCCTCTGTTGTCTTTCTCTGACCCCGCCCTCACAGGCCAGAATAACACAGTAATTAAAGTCATATTTTGCACTGTTTAAAGTATTAAGAAATAACTTTATTTTCCTTGAGCTTAAAAATAATCAAATTAATTGACTTGATTATGAATCCCACCTGGAATCAATGTGGACCTCAGGGTCCTGATGTGTCCCTTCAGAGCGGGCAGCTGCTGCAGGAAGGCGGACACTTCCGGCTCAGGTGAGTCCGTGTGGGCGGAGCCTCTGCACTCCGAACAGGTAGGCTCGTCCGTCACTCTGTAATCAAAACTATAAACTGCGGTAAAGAGCATCTCCTGATACCGAACCAGCACCCCTCTGCCCCGGCAGCTGGTCAGCACTGTGATGGAGCTCAGGTCCAGTTCATCCAAGGTTCGCTTCAGTCGGTAAAGACGCTCCGCCATGGATCCAGAGTCCAGGATGTGCGCGCTCCCGGAGCAGCCGACGGACGGGAGCGAGCAGCCGGGTCCAGGTCGGCTGGCTGTCCCATACAGCAGAAAGACATGCGAGTCCGCCTCCTGCTGCAGGGAGGCTCCGGGTCTGCAGCTGTGGGTCAGATCCACCAGAACCGCCATCGCTCACAGTGAGAAACTGTTCGGAGTTCAGAGCAGCTCCGCTTTATGTCGCTGCAGAAGGAACATGATCACCGGCGGAGAAAGTACAGCTGCCTGCACACGACTTCCTGCACAGCCTCGCTCCGCCCAGACTGGAAAGCCCAAACAGCCGCTGGAAATTCTCATCTGGGCAGGTTTCCTCCTCTTCTGCTGACTGTTGCATCAACACTGACAGTCAAAGTTTGCAAAGCGGGAGCCAAACTGCAAAACAACCTCAGGTTGTGAAACCTAAAGGGACCCAGACAGACAGCTGCTGCTCTATAGAAGAAATAAAATCAGTCAAGTTATTGTTGCATTTCAGCAACAATGTGTTGAACTTTGGGCACTGGATCTAAAACCGGTTTGGTTTCTGTTTGCAGTGACTGCTGCTGGGACAGGGTTATTCCTGGCAGATTTCCTGCAACTTTTTACATGATTTGGTCCAAAACATCTAAATCAGAGCAGAACTCTGTTGCATATGGAAAGGGCTTTCCAGCAGTTTAAATCAAGCTTTGTGTGTGACCTGGAACACATTTAAATGCTGCAACAATTCAGAACTGGAGTCTGAGACCCCTGTCCCAAGAGAAACATGCATCCTTTACAAAAAAATAAAAAATGTACTTGGACTTTCACTCAAAGCCATCACTTTTACATAATGTTTTTTTCTGGAAAAACAGAATTTTTTTCAGCAAAATAAGATATGAAAATAATATTTCTGAGAGCACAGCATGTGATACCTTAAAGCAGATGAGCTACAGCAGCAAAGGACCAAACTGATACCTTTGTCTGCTAAGAACAGGAAACTGAAGCTACAGTTCACATAGGCTCAAACTTATTTGCAAAGAAATCAGAAAAAGGTGATGTCTGATGCCATGTCTGATAAGCAACAATCAGATATTTGGGTAAACAAGCTAAAAGAAAAGCTGTTAGGCTTTTTTTTTTTTTTAATAGTTACACATTAAAGCTTTAAGTCAATCTGGATATCATTACTGACAATGATCATCCCCATATAATGACACTGCATTCATCTTTTCGATGCCTACTTCCTGCAAAAAACTCATTTAACAGAGCTAAAATATTTCTTCAACACTATTGCTTCAATGTTTTCCAATGGTCTTCATACTTGTTAGATCTCAGTTAAACAGAGCATCTTTGGGATGTGTTTAATGAATGAATGTGCTGCCTTTAAAACTCTAGAAACTGTGTAATTAAAACAAAAATGTATTTATAAAGCATTTAAAGAAATTTCAAAGCGCTTAAGTCAATTAAGGGTTGATATTTTCAAAACAGGGCCCTAAAAATGCGTATTTGTCAAATATAATGCAAAGTAGAAACCTGGATGCATCATTTAAAAGTCGATCGATAAAGCATGACATGAGGCAGTGCTCCACAGCAGCACAGAAAAGGACTCCATTTCTTATGTGCAGGAACCAATTCTGGGAATAAAAACAGGTTTGTGTACAAAGGGCGGATAGTAAAGAGTTAACATGTCTTTTGATTCTGCATTACTGTGATTAAAAAGTTAGCAGGAATATAGAAGATCCAAGCAGAGACAGGAGGATGATGAGGTGGATGGAGAATGGTGGGATGTGTTCTTGTTCATCCAATCTCACCAGGATCATGCCAGCATTGTTATGTTATTTTTGTGTCTTCTCCCCAGGAATCCCAAAGAAAAAAATGTGATAGTCAAGTTGGGAAGGTAAAAAAGCATGGGCAATTCTCTGGGTTTTTTGTATCAGAAGAATTGATCTACTTTGCAATGTTTAAGAAGTGAAAGAATGCAATTTTGCAGATATGCTTGATGTGGGTTTTGCAGGTTAGTTGAGGATAAAAACATATCTCCAAGAATGTTCACTGCTCTGGAAGGGACATGCTGTAATACTAAACTTTCTATGTTGAATTTGACGTGGACTACCATTTTGAATCACTTCTGCTTTTAGCTGTTAACATGGAGGAAAGTTTGCTCCAACAATGCCTCTTTCTCAGAGAAATCACTGTCCTCCAACTTTGAGATATCTTCTCCCTCTGTCCTGCTCTCCTTCAGAAAACCACTGGACAGAATTAGAACATAGGAAGCTGGAAATATTTGGGTCAAACCAGTATTATTCTGCTTATTATAATCAATGTCCTAAAAGAGGTGTAACAGTTTTAATTGCAAAGAAAATAAACTTTGTGTATACATATACAAAGACTGATACTAAATGTAGATTCATATTTAATCAGGCACACCTGGGGGAGGCTTTATTAGCTATTGTAAGTGTTTATTCCCCGATGGGATCTACATAGGGATTTTTTAAACTTATACTTTAATTGATAGTCTCTAAGGCTCTGGGTTCACTTGCGGAGGTGATTTTAACATGTCGGGGTAATTCAATTCAGTTCAGTTTATTTCTATAGCTCCAATTCACAACACATGTCATCTCAAGGCACTTTACAGATCATACAGTCAAATTGATTCAAGGTTTTCTATCTAAGGAAAACTAGTTGATTGCATCAACTCATTGACTCAAATACAATGCCTCACATTAAGTATGCTTGTAGCGACAGTGGAGAAAAAAAAACTCCCTTTTAACAGGAAGAAAC